TTAAGCGGAAAATCATATTTTCTAGGACGATTTTTCACAGGTAAACAACTTTAATACTACCTACCTATAAATACGGCATGCAATATATTTTAGTAGTTATATTATTATAATATTACGTCGTATTAGAGATCTATAGTTTTCACTGCTCTAATATATAGTTACCTGTAGGTGACACCTATATATTCCTACAGTAGGGTAATCATATCATTTTATTTTACTTAAACCGGGACAAACATGTTTTGTACAATTTTTATGGGGAAAATCGTACCACTCCTCCTCGACCAACCACCAATTTTAAACTTTAACACACGTTTTTTTTCGCTACTAGAATACCACTCATTATGATCACCACTCTGCGACATTCTTTGTAAGGCAAGTACTCAACTACTTTATAAATTGGAATGCGAGTAACAGATAAAATTATATCAACTAGCGATAATTAATTGCAAAAATTGTCGAAGAAAACAACTCGAACATATTCACTAATAATCGTCGTCACTCCTCACCAATCCATAAGAATAAACTCACAATAAATTTCGTCAGTCGATCAAGTTATAATCAACTTTATTATTTTGTTATTTATAAAAACAGTATTGTTTTTCTATTTATTATATAGTGTTATATTGTGTGAGTTTTTTTTAAAGTGCACCTTTTATTTGTGAAAATTATGCAAAAAACAACAAATTATTCAAGTCAAACTAAAAATGTGTTGAAGAATAGGTATGAAAATTAAAATTTTCAACATATAATTTTAAGTGAGAAATTCGATACTTGTAGGTAGGTATATGCACTGATAAAAGTTACGGTGATTATGACAGCGCAGATAGGTATATTATTTTATGACCATATATTATGAGAATGCTTTAAACGTGCAGTCATTAGATATATTATATACATTTAAATTTGTAAACAAATGAAAAACACATTATGGTTGTTAAATATAAGAATAATAATATATATATATAATTCAAATTACAATCAACCAAAACAACATATAATATATTATATGAATGATAATTAAGTGGATACTTATAATATTATAGTTAAGTTTAAGTATAAGTATTTATTCCTTCTAAATTATTTTTAATGACCTTATATAGAATCAATCCCTGTATAAATGTTTTATATACTTTTATAAAAATAGATAAATGATGGATAGATATTTAGTTTAATACTGTTATAATATAGAAACCTATGATAACATATTTTTCTACTTTCTAAGTGTCTCTAGTATAAAAGGAGAGTGATTGAGAGGTGTTTTTGGTGTTCAATTAATTATGAAATAAACGTATTATTGCGTATTATTGTTTAATATATTATCTATGTAGAAAGTACATGTCAGGTAGGTAATTATAATTTATAATTCGTATTTCGAATACTATATGTAAGATCAAATGCTAATATTTAAATTGAAATATTTACATATATATATATGTGTATAGTATTATAGGTACCTGGTACATAGTATAGGTATATGACCCTATATAAACTCACGCGTGTTATGTACAAATAAAAATTAAAACAACTATGAAATGCTTACTGGAAAGTATTTGTTTATAGATATAAAATAGATGCTCATTTATTTTGATCAATGTAAGTGTCTACACTCATTATTTCGGAAAGTTTCAGCTTTTTTGAAAAGAAATAATTACCTATTTTGTAACATTTATAATTTTTTATGCACATAGTTTTGAAGTGTTTACTTTAAATTCAGATTCCAAAATAGAAGAATTTTTCGTCGTATTTCATTAAATTAAAATCGAATTTCAATCCATTAGTTAATTAATTACAACTTATAACTTATAAGTATTTAACATTTTGCGGGGTTGGGCTCACACATGGGTAGCGCCACGTGACTACGCTCATATTATAGTATTTAAAATTAGTTATATAATATTATAGTACTATAAAATAAAAGTCAGTACGTGTTCGTGCATCACGGCCGGTCATTTTATTTTCTACAGAGTCCGATACGTGGCGTTAAGGACTTATGGCGTAGCTATTCACCGCTACAATTTAAAAAAAATGTTTGCTTCATATTTTGGAAATATAAATTAATAAATTTACATGTTTTTATAAGAATTTTTTGTGAAATCTTATCAATTATGATGACGATAATAAATTAATATAAAAATATAATTTGTTCATACATTTTGTTTTGTAATCACATAATTAAAAAAAATAAAAATACTATCAAAAACTTAACGAAATAATGTGTGGTCATATAGGACCTATAATACACATTATAGTCTATATTATCAGAATTTTCGAAATTATTCGTTGATTTTTTTTTTTATTTGTTTCAAACATTCAAAAATCAATACACCAAATATATTATTATAAGCCCTAATGTTATTTTTTGGGTTTGTTTAAAAGCACATCTTATAAATCAGCACTCCCAAAACACTGCACGTGCTGAGGGTGTACCAATATTATGCACTAGGCGTCAGTTTTAATGTGGGGTTTAGGGGTTGCATTCATTAACGGATAACCAAATAATTATTTCATATTATAATGTTTGAAAACATTAAGTGAGTTTAAATACAATATTACAAATAATTAAACATGTGAAGTTATTAATTTTACCAACTTTCAAAATGGGAACATTATATTTTGTATCATGCAGTAAAATCATTGTAACGTGAACCATACAAATCATACATCATAAAAATATTTTGTTGAAAATATAATTATAAATTTATACTTACGACAAATCGAATACGTTATAGAGTCTTCGTTTGATGAAATATGTTTTACTTGCAGCCAAATTAATTTTTTTTTTTTTAATAAATTGAATCTAAATAACCTTATATATAATATATATAGTTTAAAACTGTATAAGATATATGTCTAACCCATATATTTATTATATTTACTTGCAGATATGTTAGTCTTGGACAGATATTCTAATACATACCTACCTAAGAAAATATTGATTCAACAATCGGATAAAAAAATATATTGTTGGGTTTTCCTAATGGGTGTCCCTAAGTTGTTGTGGTCGAAACAGGTTATATTCTGTCGGCGGCGACGAAAGGTCGGAAATAGGGTTAAAAAATATTTAGCGCTACTTTAGCTGCAATCACACGTTTATTATTTATAGTTGAATAATATATATATAGTTGTTTACCCACCAATTCTGACAAAAAAAATAACAAAAAACGGTACACTAAAATATACCACACAAGGAAATAAGTTATGGTGTGGAAAGTTATTCGAAAAACTCGAGCCAATAAATTATAACGGCATGTAAGGACAAAACAACCCTCTAAACATATGCATATACTGACCCTTTTTATCATGTAAAAAACGAGTACGTGTTTTGATTCTTTGGTTGTATCATAAATAGTATTAAAACAGTTGTAATTACAAATAAGGCAGTTAGTGAAAAAAGGGGAGTAGAGCGAATGACATTATTATTTATGGTTTGCCATGTTTATTATTACAGTCATCATAAATACTAATTAAAAACTGTTTAAGATTCTTTATCGATGTTTAAAAAGCTATTATACTGCTCATTTTCGTTTTAAAAAATACTCATGTTTTTATTATGTTTTAAACACTAAAAGTCCCGCATAGAATCACTAAACAGTGTGGGTTCAATTTTTTTCACCTGCGTTTAAGGTTTAAATTATTCATCGTCATCTTTGTACACTAAATTTTACAGTTCTATAATATATTTATTTTGTTGTGTCTTATTTCCCTTACATTTTTTATTATATGTATTATTTTTACAGTATGTAAAGAATGTTTTACATTATTTAATTTACAGTTTACACATGGTGAATACAAATAAACCTGTACAATGTGTATACAGCCTGTACCAAACCGATCGCTATGCTAGAAAATAACTTATTTCATAATCTTATATTATCAGGGTAGTACGAACAGTTCATGTCATAATTGATAATTGTATAAAATTAATAAGAAAGAACATGATTAAAAATTAATCTAAAAACGAATTTTTTCTTAACCGTACAAATTAATAATTTTTACATTCACTTTTTACTCTGAACATTCTAATTTCTAAATAAACAGCGCAATTGGGTAGGCAGTTCCTACATATACCTGCAAATAAGAAAATATATAAGACTTTCATTATATTTTTTTCTAGCTATACGTTTTGAAAATGTAGTACTTAAGACCTAACTACGAATATATCCTATTTATATTCCTACAGGCAACTTCATTTTCTAAAATTTATATAGAATTGATAATTTGTGGTTAGTTTTAAAACAGAAAAAGCTCACACATTACTCTATAATGCCATACAAATTAAACATTTAAACCAATTTCAACATTGGTGAATGTTGTGTCTAAGAATTATTCAGATATTTTATAATTTTTTGTTTAATTAGAAAATAAATCATTTTTTTGCCGAGTTCTACTCTCAAACTGGTACTTATCCATTAATTAAAAGTTTAATATGGCTATAAACATGATCAACTGCGATAAAGCAAATTTCACGTCTTCACGAGTTACATAAATACTATATTATGTGGGTATTGAACAAATAAGTGGGAAAGGATTTGTTCTATGGCAAGATGGTCTCAAAGGCCTTAAAAAAAAAAAAAAAAAAAAAAAAAAAATTGAACAAATAAATATAGCATACATCTTTTGACTTATGAATCTTTATATCCGCTTATTTAGGCAACATTTAAATTCTATTTTTTTTTTTAGGTGGTGATTTATTTTTAATAGATACAACTCTTTTGTTTTTACTGATATGTTTGCTTGTTTTACTATGAGTTATTTTTCTTTTAGAATTGTAATTTGAGGTTATTTCTTATTTTGTGCTATGTTTTATCTTATATTTTTTCTATATAAGACCATAATTCTATACGGATTTTAATACTGCCTGATCAACTTATTGAACAAATAACTGCATTATGAAATCTATTTACTTAAAATAAATAAATATAGAATTGTATAGTTTAAATTAAATCTGAACTATAATATAATTAATACTCACAGTTCTATGTTTGTTTCAGTTATACTCAATGATGTACGAAAGTACATGTTCGTACCAAAGTGCTTTAGACCTGAAAAGGGTGGCGATGTCATCACCGCCTAGTATAAAAACAGAAAATGACTGTCTTCCGACTACTACTCCGCAATGGCCATCGGTAGGAGTGGCTAGTTGTGCTTATAGGTAAACGAAATATTTTTATTTATTTATATTGATTAATAACAGCGTCTCTTCCTATGGAATAAATGTATTTTTAGGGTAAATATAATAAGAACATAGTAAATACATTTACTTTATCAATTGATGATATATTTGGAAATACTTGAACTTTCAACTATATAAATAGCTACCTAGGTAGTTATTATACAAAACCTGGTTCCACGAATGTCTATTATCAACATACGAATTTATATAATATATTATATTATTTAATATAATTAATTCTTGATTCAATTTTTTGTTAGGTTTGCGTGTAATTCCACGTTTGAACAACTCAAACAGTCAGTAGAAAAGGCAAAAGCCGCATTACAGGATCGCGGAAGTTATTTATCATCGTGTGACCTAGGCACGTCTCCTTTTTGTCCAGCAACACCGTCATCCAGGACGCCAGTGTCCAGTCATCCAACTACCAATTCACTCGATCTATTTCAGGATGAACAAAATAATACTGACAAACGAAACAATTGTAAGTTTACCTAACAACAATTCAATAAATAGTTCAATTGTAATACTCTATAGGAATAAATTTAAAAACAACATAATACAAACACCATATATTATAGTTTATAATATTGTATGTGCAATAAAAATTGATTTCATAAAAAAATAACACAATATTATTATTTATATCTAATAGTAATATTATATATCATTGAAAATCTCCAAACAGTACCTATATCGCGTATTATATAATGTATTGTCGTTATTCGTTTTTATAGAAAATAAAGTTGAAAAGGAAGAAAACAGTTTCCATGGAAACAACTTTCGGTCGTCATCCTTCAGTGGTTTTGTGCTTTTGGCCCTTTGAGAAAAAATGGCGCATTTTGGAACAATTGCACTGAGCTCAAACACAATACATTATATACATATATTTTCTCACCGGGCGTTCGGAAACGAATAGGAAAGAGATAGTAAAGGGGTGCCCGGGTGTGGGAGGAGAGCGAATGAAAATTGAGTACATCCGTTGTGGCTTTTTAGCAAAAAAAAATAAAAAGTGAAAACGAATAAAACGAAAAAAAAAGAAAATGCTTTTTAATGATATGCCAGGGACATCGGTTTTTATTATTGCAGTCCACTTCCGACGACCATATCAGACCACGCACATAATCCTTTTATGATTATCATTTCCTTCCTTGAAAATATACATGGTTTAATATAGTATCTACTTTACATAGGTAGGTATCTATACTATTCATCATTTTTTTTTAATCTTAAGTATAATATAGTATAGGTATTCCCTAAAATATCTAAACTTCTATTATTTTAATTTAATAAATGTTTTATTTGTTTTTCAAATTTGTAAAATAATAACACATCGTTACACGATAAATTTTAATTGATGAATCATATGAATCATTGTTGTTTTAATTGTACAAGAAAGTAATTACTAAGAAGTACCTATACTTGGTTAGAAGCAATAGCGTACCTATATATTATATTGTATACCTAGTTATTTTATATTACCTATAACAATATTGAAATGCATCAGAGAGGTTGGTTTAACCAAACTTTAACATTAATACAGGATCTCGTAAAATAGGTACCTAGATATTTTATCAATCTGCAAATAGATATTTATCAATTATATGATGATAGAACAACAAAATATACCTAAATGTAGTCAATTTCAAAATCAACCTTCGATGATCAATTTCCGACATGTAGGCTGTTTAGATAATCAATACAACTTTTCGAGCCTTCAATTAATTATGTAAACAAAAAAAAAACAGTAAGTAAAGGTAAACTTCGCTCTGAATATAAAATATATCAAACTTTGATGTATCTATATTCTATACAGTAATATTCTATGTGCATTGTACGTGTATTGTGCTTATACAAACAATTTTTTTTTGGCAATAGGTATGAATAATGAAATATAATATGATTTATGAACCAAGCTTGGAGAACATTTTGAATAAGTTGTATTATATATATTGCATTTCTAATATATTTTATTATTTTTAGATAAATAATAAAATACAATTATAAACAAAAAATACACATTATATAAAATAAATAAATTAGTTGAAGTATTATTCGGGTCATATAATTTGATTTTATTTAGTACCAATTATTAAATTGAATAAGAATAATGTCTTGGAGCAAATTGTATTTCTTGTTATAAATGCAAGAAACTAAAACGGGAATGGAATCCTTTTTCTTTCAAATGTTTTATTTTTGTAAAAGCTTTTGTTGTTTTTTTTCAACACCTTTTCAGATAATTATTTTGCTGACGTAAACGGAAAATAATGGATACCCCACATAAAAAGAGGGAAAATTATCATTATAAACAAATAGGAAAAAAAATAACATAGACATGATAAAAAGAAGACCTCCGGAACATTTATACCGATTCCAGGCGACGAGCCGCAACGATAGTATCCTTTTCCGGTGTTCCGGTTAGCTTTCCTGGTGCATTTTATTTGACACAAAAGAAATGTTATTTAACAAAATAAAATTAAAATATCTATTTAAAAACATTTTCCAGACGCTCATGTTTTATCGTAAAATGTTATACTTTTGAATAATTAGTGAAAAATATGTTTTCTTTCTAAAATTATTAACTAATGCACAGATAACATACCATGCCATTTTTCAGTTAATATTCATATTTGATTTATTAGTTATTTGTGTTTTATTTGGTTCGGCCTTTAGCGTATTATTTTCCCTCACATCTATGTTATTAATGTTTTTGACAATGTACAGTTTGTTTATTTTGATTTAATACTCAATGATGAATAATTGCTTTTTAATCACAGTATAGCGAACATATTATTTTGAATGAAATTACATTTTTAGGCGTATCACAAATTACAGTATACCATATATTATATTATAGAAATTTAGCAGTTATACTCTATATATATATGAGTAGGACGAGTAGGTATATAATCTACATAGTATGCTATCATACTAGAATCCTACGTAAACCGTTTAATAATTTTCATAAAAATAATTTTAAAAATACTATGCATATAGGTAACATCAAACTATCAATTCCTATCATTGTATATTATCATGTAAATGGTTTTAAAAATTAATGAAGTGAATTTAAATTACCTCACAAATAAAAGTATAGGTATATTAAAAGTATTCAACTAAAATATTATTCAGGGATTTTATACTTTATAAATAGGGATATATGCGTGTTTTTAATTTTCAGCTTTCTTATAAAACATAATAATTAATATTCGAAATTTGCACGATGTTAATCTTCAAATATAATACAAAACCATATATCATGTACATTTTACTAAATAGTAAATACCTACCTACTTAAGGAAAAGGCCGAACCTCGGAGATTCGTTTATAATTTCCAGATACCTTTGATTAAAACAAAAAAAAAATTATTTGTTCAACATTTTGTACCTAATATTTATGTGAATTTTTTTCTGATATCTATATTACTTTTAAGCTAGTGAAGACATATAGAAAAAAACACTAGTTATTTAATCATATTTAAAATAATCACTAGCGAGTATGGCCTCCCATGGCCTATGTGCCTATATGTAGAGGTAGACCATATGATTTAGGTAGTACGTGTATTTTCGTACTTCAAACAATAGTATAGATTACCTTTGTCCATTTATGTATCTATACATATATTAAAAAATTAAAATGTAAAATTTATTTTTCTAGACATTGATTCGTCAAATAGCAGATACGATAAGAGTTCTGGATTGATGCATTTACCATCGTCGACTTCAAACGGTAATATAATATACATAATATTTTATTACATCTTATAATAATTTTACAAATACATTTAGAAAATTATATTTATTTTGTAAACGCAAATGCCTATAAAATATTATTATTGAACTCAAATTCACATTAGTTGAAATATAATTTACTCACAATAAAAATAAAATATTATAATTTGAACAGAATACAATTTTATTTCAGTTTAATAGGTATCTACTACAGGGGAGTGCTTACGGGAGGATAGGGTGTCATATCCCCTCATGAACTTTTTTTTATGCGTAATTTATAGTTTTTCGATAATTTTGGTTTACTCAACAAAAAAATGTAGTGTTTGTATCTGTTCATCCCCCCCCCCCCCATAGAAAAAATCTGAGCACGCCACTGATCTACTATGATAGCGATTTCCTCTGTACACTTAAAAAGTTTTAACGTATAAATAAGCAACAACATAATATTATATCGTTTACATTATAGTAAACATAATATTTAGTATACATTATAGAAACATATGATATGGAAAAATTTCATACAACTTATTATCCACCAATAATATAATGATATTATATATTATTATAGCTGGCGTATCTTGTGACTGTTCTGTATCATTTCCCATATTGTAATATTGTAATCGCAAATTATACACTTTATATATTATGTATATTATATAGATTAATTTCGTTGATATGTTATATTAATTTAATTTTAATTAGTTTCATAATTAGTATGCAATTTGCGGTGGTGTACCAATTAAGTATTTAGTGTTTTAGTATGTATATAGATGCAATGGATTCGAGTGGTGGATTGCACATTATATTATAAATTGTACCGAGCTCACAAATCGTGTTTTACATTGAAAACTCCACATAGTCCAAAATCCGTTGTAGGTACCTACTTACCTATTTTTTCATTTGTACAAAGTACACGCTTATCATACGTTTTTCACTGTATCTAAATATTGTTACTTAGATTTCTATATTATTTTATGCATTCATTATACTTATGTACGTATAATATGGCAATAATAAATTATCAGAAAGAACGAATATCAGTACAATTTATTGTTATATAAGAGGCCTAAGTACCGAAAAATAATACCTACAATTTTCTGCAAAATATGATAAATAAACAATAGGGAGCTTATTTCAGGATATTCTTGTAAAGCGTTTGCTGTAACTAAACTAATCAGTGCATTTTATAAACAACTAACTATTTGAAATGCCTACGTTGTAAAATTTGTTTTTATTTGTGATAATATTTACCTACCTATTATATAACCGCGTTAGTATCGAATTATGTTGCAGTACAGGTACATTTTATCATCGAAAAAAATGACATTTTAGAAATAATAATCCTTATAGATCTGTGGGCGGAGACGAAAAATATAACCCCCATGTACATAATATGTAATGTTTATAATATGTATGATATTGAATTAGTATAAACTATAAATGTATAGCTGTGATGTCGGGTGAAAAGGGGAGCCACGCGCCCCCCCCCCCCCATATTGACGATAGTGTGTTTATCTCCAACGAAGGTTCGCTTTTACAGTTTTACGGGAAGGGGGAAAAACTGTCAACCCATCGGTATGAGGGTCACATGCTGTTACCATGGATACTGTCGTCAGTCAAATGGCCGCCATCCCATACCGCCTCACCAATCATTCCTATTCGGGAGTTTTTCTTCTTCACATCTAATAGATTTTTTCCCCGTTTGGCATTGAATTAGAGTACAAAGCCGAGAAACGTTTTGGGTTCTTTGTGACATTTTTTTTCGATGATTTCACACGTTTTTAACAAAAATACTATTCAAACCTTTATAAACATCAAAGTTAACAAAAGTGTAACAATAGCTGTACTAGCTATATAAGTAGTTCAAAATTCACATATCACTTTCATTTGCGGTAAAACTTATAGTATTATTGTGAAAATATTAATAAATAAATAATAAGTAGGTAATAACGACACATACAGCATCAAAAATATGACCAACTAAAAACAATTATCGAACAAATTATTATTAAGTATAGTTTATGCAATAATATGGTTATTTCATTAATTACAACGAATAAAGTTAAATAATAATTAATTTAATAATATGCGGCTCTTACGAAACAAAATATTGCTTATTAATAAATTATGTCAGTTAAATTCCTTCCTGAATTAAAATACATGTTTAAAAAAGTTTTGATAAAAAACTTAAAAAGACACAATATGTACTTACTAAGTACCTACCTACGTATAGCCTATAGATAATTAATTTAAAATATTTTTAGATGCTTTACGATTTGAATTACTTGCTACTGTTATAAACTAACTATAAAAAAAGTTTGTTAAGAATCGCAGCTATTTTATCTGCACTCGACTATTCATTTATTATTTTATTAAACGCTTGCAAAGCTACAAAATAATAGATACATTATTCGGTATACCTACTTATCAGGGCCGTCTTAAGGGGGGGGGGGGCAGGACCCAGGCTTAAATTTGGAGGCTTCAAGTTTGAAAAAAGTGGTAAAATTGGTTTAAAAATTGGTTTTCACCTTGGGCCTCGAAAATCCTAAGGACAGCTCTACGACTAATATATAATATTTTAATACAGACCAACATAAAACTATCGAAATATTATAATAGTATATTGGTACAATAATTATACTATTCAATTATTAGAATAATTGTGTTATTAAATAAAATAATTGAAAAAAATTAATATTATTAAATTATCATTATACATAGGTACCTCTACTCATAAGTCATTATTCATTACAGTTAACATATTTGTTTACTTGTACCTACTCTATAGACTATAGATGTAAAATCAGTGCTCATGTATGATATTAATTTATATATTAAGTTGATTTGTTCAGTAAAAAATATTTAATTAAATATTTCTTTCAATAATTTCTACAGGTTTATCTTCTGTAGGAAAATCATCGTCGTATTTGCCATCTTCCATATCAGATTCATTTAGATCGTCATCTAAATCAGGTATGTCAATAATTTATTTGCATTAACGTTAAGTTCATCAGTAAAAGTTTTGTTCTGAAAAATTAAAATAATCATTTCATATTATTATCTTATGTATTTAAAAAAGGTAATCATAAATATTTAATGAACGGGTTTACGAGCCTAACCTAACCGTCTTATTAAAACTAGGTACTACTTATTTATTTATTTATTTATAATATTTATACGGACAAAGTCCAATTTACAATATTTAATATCAATAACAATAATAGTATATATAATAACATTTGATAATTAACACATTTTAAAAAATTCAATATAAGTTGGTAGTACAATGAATACAAGGAATAAAATAATAATACAAATTATAGTGATTACATTGATACAAAACCTAAAAAAAAAGTGGGAGACAGAGTGGGTTTATGTGGGTATTAATTATTTTATTTATTATATTATTATTATTATAATTATTTCATTCTTATCATTTATGTATGGTTTTAGTATTAACTAGACAGTATTATAAAGTTTGAAAACCAGTTCATAAATAGATAGGTACATAGTATACCTACAAAATATAATAGTCTGCACTCCGGCACTCGACGAAATGAATAAAAATAAATAGATATTTTTAAAATGCCTAAAAAACCACAAACAATGATTTTTTTTTATATTATCGTGAGAAGTATGTCTCATAGAACATAATATTATATTTAATAAATTATCGACCATATTAGGGCCACACACGTGGGCATATTAAAAATAAATTTAAAAATACGATGAAATAAGTAAACTAAAAAAGTGATTGGATGGATTATAATTGTATATCCCAAACTTCAACAATACAATATTTACATGGGCGGTTCTATTATACATTTATATACCTATAATCTAAAGTTTGCCCACATTTACTAGAAAGACAACTTATCCGTTTCACATTTTTACAACTGGTTAGCGCACTGATTATTTCTCCTATTTAAGTACTCGTTTGCGCAAAAAAATATTTATGATGTAGTACACACATATTCTCATCATTTAAATGCTAGTGGAAAGCTTCAGCTCCGTTCGTTGTACTGGTTGTTTATTACATTTTGGTTTTAAGTTGGAATTGAGAAAATATAATATGATGGTAAATTAAAATCTGAGACAAAATAGCAATTGAATTTGCAAAACATGTTATCTTTATTTATCTAGTGACAAATATACAGTAAACATAAAAAATATTTGAACCGTTTACCTACCTCATCAGGTAGTTATTATTATTTCTATACTATCCTGTAATAATGAACTACTAATTTGTATTTGAAACAAAACCAAGATAGTGTTAAATGCAATGTAGGTACAACATATGCAATCTTACATTGAGGGAAAACCTAATACAAAAAAATTTTTATTTTATAATTTATTAATATTAGAAGGTAACTAATAGGCAATGTTCCCTTGAGGCCCAAATTTAGTTCATGGTTTTTTACATTGCCATGAGAACCTTAATTTTGTTCTCACTATAATATTTTACTTTTATTAAATGATACCCATAATTGGTAGGTACTCATTTATCGGTTTCTTATCATTAATTCATTATTTTCAATTTATTCACTATATTTTGATACGAATAAGCGCAAACCTAAAATTTTTATTATTTCTAAGACATATTCAAATATAACCACAAAATATCAAAAATACATTATAGTTTTATATACCATGGCAATAGAAATTTTTTTTAATTCATTGTTAGCAGTTACCAAAATCTAGTCGAGATCCAAAACTGAGTCACATGGCGCTCAACCTATGGTAATACGATAGGTTGAACTAATTTTTTCCGAAATCATTGCTTATGTTATATAATAATATTTGATATTGTATTATAATATTATATATTCTTAATATATAATAAACTAATTATTTATTTTATCATATTGGAATATATTATTGTTATAAACTTATTATAATTTATAAGTCAATAACGACTATCAATGAATATATTATACTAAGGTGTAAATATAGATTTTTAGTACAAATGCGATTTAAATATTAGTCTAAAAACTACAGTTTCAATATTAATATTTTTTCAATTACAACAGAATAACTGAAATTATTAGAAGCAAAACCAATTATTTTTCTTATAAATATCCAATTTTGTCAATATTTGTACTACAAATGTCTATTAAAAAACTTGTGCATATTATTATTATACGTATTTTCAAAAATTGTAAGCTGCTGCTGTAACTTATGGTTATGAGTTATGAGAAACTTGACTTTACATTTTCAAGTTTTTTGACTTCCAAACAAAAAGTTTATCAACATGACATCTAAAAAATATTGGTAGAAATATTTCAGTATACATTTCAAGTTTCTTCAGTTATTCATTTTTGAATTAAAATACAAATAAAAAAAATATATTTTGTCGAAAACTGAAGGCCGCATAAATATTTTCCCAGCTATTTTTAAAAAAAACTGGGGCTCCTCAAAGCACAAACTAGATCCAATTTTTTCAAAACTAGAAACCGCTCTCAAAATTGAAGCTTTTTACTAAAGGTGTCGTCGCTGGAAAAAAACTGTCATCGTTATTTCGGCTGAATCTTAAGACACTACATGTCTACATGCACTTAAAACTAATATCCTGTTTGGAAATAAATATGCTATTATATGCTTTTAGTAATGTATAGTAGGTATGTACAATTTATAATACAAATTAAGTTATGTAATTTAGTAGAGTAACAATTAAAAATTAAAATATTATGTGTTTATAAAGAATATTATTATTGTACAAGGTATACTATATTGTATTGTATATTATTTTGTATGTCATTTTTATGAAAATAGGTGTAGAATTCACCCCACGCGCCATTCACTCAGCTTTTTTAGATCGGTTTTAAATAAGATTTATGAGTGCGGCATTTGTTAATTTGTGTTTTGTGTATACACTTAAAATTGCAGGTTTATCGAAACACGCGAGAAAAAAATTGCCACTATTCCGCCGACAGCCACAACAGGCCGAATATACATTAACATAATCGAAATATATAGGCAGGTATCTGTTGTAGGTAGGTATAATATTATAATAGTGGTGAAAAAATAAACATTGATTATCGTGTTTACTTCGGTATACCTACCTACCTACACTCACGCTCGGGTGTTGGCGTTGCGGCGTTTGACTGTAGAGCGTACCTTTATATATATATAGCGTGACTGACATCCCTTTTTCGCAATAGACCGTATACACAAGCCGAGGTGTCTCTTCGTGACAGTCATCGAGTCGAACAATACAATATAAAATTTCACATAGGCGAGTCTGTATATTGCAGTGGGAGGGGGCCACAGTTAACTCGGTTATGATTAATGGCCCCGGCCCCCTCGCCAAACGACTGCAGTCCATCCCTATTAGCAATAAATAAAAATATTATATACATTTTTATTTTTATTTTTTGTTTACCCAGAGCGCTTTGTCTCGAAGCTTTCATTCGTATCCACCCTTCACCCTTCACCACGTACACGTTAACCTCGGCACCATAAAACATTTGACTCAAGATATGTAATCAAACCCGAGAAAACCCGCCAACCCGTGAATAATGGTAGTTTTATTTATTTTTCCAATAGTGCGCATCGGCAGCTACTGCAACTATGGGGAGACGTATTGCGGGAAATTGAGCTCACACGTTTATTGTCATATTTAATATATTTTACCTACACGCAATATGTACCTACACGTTCAATGCTCATTGCTCGTATTTAGGTACGTATGTGGCTATGTACATATAATCAATTAATTTCACCATCCAGTCCGTTTATAATATATTTTAAGCAATATGTATTAATAAATTATACCAATTAAAACAACAAAATCCCTGCAGTCCATACAATTAAAAAAAAAAAAAAGTTTATAAGAAAACAATATTGTGCATATTATTATACACAGTATCTACAACAAAATATAACCATTCTAATTGCATGGTAAACTATATTACAAAAATGACGATGGAACTAAAATAGTAATGGTGTTTGAAATATACATATTCAACTACTGCAGGGACTCGAACTTTGGAAAGTTATTATTCGAAACACGTGCAGTGTTCCATTGTCACCAATCATAACGAATATACGTCACCCCTCTATATATATTCGAACGTTATTTTACATAATAAAGAGAATTTGTGACAATAATAATTATAATTGTTACCAGTGAATTAAATCGAAGTGCGTACGTATGGTATGGTTACTTTTGTCTGTCGTCGATACCATATCACATGTCGTTTCTCTGCCACCCCACCCCCACACCCATACCAATCACCCTCCACCCACACCCCGAAATATTACGGAGTCTTTGAATATACTAGCTTTTGCCCACTATCTGCCCCCGACTCCTTCGGCACCCCACACCAAATACTGCACCCACTCGCCGACCGCCACGACGACGACGAGTTTTCGAACATGACTAATCTCTATGGGTTTCCGTTTCGGAATGGAAAGTCGGCGGCGTACGGTTTCCTGCCGTACGCACGGCCCGAAATAATAGCCCCAGTCCACACGCGTCGAGGCCTTTGTCAATTAAAGGCCCTTTCGGTCCATTTCACCAGTGGACGACCGCCTTTAACGAGCGACCCTTTCACTCTGTCCCGCAACTCGACCATTGTTTGTTTATGATTAAAACCAAACGGGCCAGAAAAAAATACACGCATAATAATAATAATAAAAAAAATACTAATGTACACAATAGCGTTTTTATACGGAACATCTCACATGACATTGCAATTTTTCATTTTTATGACGACCAGTGGCGATGTACCGCTGTGACTATAATAATAATATTATCATTGATATGCCGAATTTTATGCTTATTTTTATCAACTGAAATTCACTTTTTACATTTTATTATTACGTTATATTATATTTTTTATTCTTTGGGTATAGGTACCTATCTTACAAGTTTAGATAAAAAATATCAAAATGTTCAGATAAATTGCACTATATAATACAACTTACAAGTAATACAAATATAATTGGAGTCCTATAGTAGAAACTTTATTAGTCTAATGTATGACATTTACCTAAT